GGCCCCGCTGCCGAACCGCCGGCCCAAGTGGTTCGGGAGCGACGGGACGGAGGAGCGGAGGCAGCCCGGCCGCCCAGCGTGAGGCTTCTGGGTGGACTCAGCCCTGCCTCGGTCTACTGCAACAAAAAAGACGAGGAAACGCTGAGCAAATTCTTTGGGGGAAGCCCGGGCCCTACCGGAGCAAGCAGCAGAGTCCCCCTCAGTTTCAGCAAAGCCCTGATTCTGTGATCTTAGCCTTGTTCTCTCTTTCTGCTCTGGATAGTCTGCTTTTCGCTTGCTTTGCCCTTGGCAGGAGGAAATGTCTGCACTTGGGTGCAGCACGTAGCTTAACAGGGTGGCATTTCTGACTCCCACTTGGGATCCATGAGTTTATTCACCTGTCCCGAGGCGAGAAACACCAACTCATCTTCCTGTTGTGGTACCCAGGGATGATGGGTGCTAATGGATTAGGCACAGAATAAAGGGGGAAACGGCAGCTGGGAAGGGAGCAAGGAAGAATTTACAGCTGTCTGCTGCCTTGGTCCCAGGGTGTGAAATTCAAACTGGAGGGTAAACTGTGCAAGGTGCATTTGGGACGCTTTTAGAGGGTTTGGTTTTATGAGTCTCCAAGGAGCGTGGCTCTTGATGCTCGGTGCTGGAAAAGGGATGGTCTAGGTGGGATTGAGGCTTTCTGACTGCTTGGGGCTGCACTGGAGCCTCACAGGAGCAGGTAATAAGGGCTAAGCATGGGGTGCTTAGTCCTGCTCTTTACAAGAACACAGTTTGTTTCCTAGATAGGTCAGCAAGTTGTATGGGAGCTGTTTCTGACCCTGAGGTGTTCCCAGCCACCTTTGCTCTTGCCATTTAAGCAGGGTTGTTGCTTTTGGAGAGGAGCGTCTCCGGTGCGGAGCTCAGCTGGGAGGATAAAGAGAAGGGCAGAAGGATTTCCATGGGGCTTTCATTTGCTACTGGGAGAGGAGCTGCTGGTGTTGCTGGTGGATTAAAAAGCTGTTTTCTGTGTTGGCTGCCACCTTACTGACCACTCAGTCTTGGTGGGTGGTAGCAAAGTTCAATAAAGTATACTGGCTCCGTTTCTGAACCACCAGAAAGGGAGTCGTTACTGCATCCTGCCGGAGGAAAGGAATGCGTTTCCTGGACCCTTGTGTTGTATTCTGAATTGTTGTCATCAGGCTGGTGTTTGTGGGGTTTGGTAGTTGTTGGTTTTTGGGGTTTTTTTGTTTGGTTGGTTATTTTTAAAATAATCCAAGCTGTTTCAGCATGTGAGATTGGATATCTACCACATTGGGACAGACTTGGAAACAACTGAAAACGCTAAGTATGGCAACAAGAGGAAGGCCACAGGATTTCCCAGGGTAATATAGCGCCTCTTTGAGAAACGGAAGAGAAAGCACTGAAAACAAAGGGCGCTGGAGCGACCAGGGATGTAAAAAGCAGGCTAAAGATTTATGGCTCAGCTGGGACCTCTCTGCCTGTGGGTGAGAAGGTTGTGTGCTAACGCCTGGGTTGTCCTTTGGTGCATTCCCTGTCCTGACAGGCAGCACAGAAGTGCTCCTTGTTCATCAGCTCGGATCCCCAAGCACAGTCCTCCTTGTAGACCACAAGTGCATGTGGAGTGTCCCAAAGTGCTGCTTTCAGTAGTGTCCCCAGCTCGCTGCCTTGGGAAATCTTTTAGGACATTTTGTCTGTGGAGACAACCACGTGATGCTTTCTGTTCTCCAAAAACAAGAAGGGCATTTAGATCCTTTGTCAAGTGCTTACAGTATGCTTGTCTTTCTCCCATGCCTCGTGTGTTTACATGTTAGAAATGTTCATTTTGACAAGGAGATGATAAATAAAGACCGTGTAAGCTGCAAGGCTGTGGTTTTCCGAGGTGATCTTAACTCAGTAGAAGCTTTTCCACTGAGTTATTCTGAATATCAGCTATATACAACTAATTCATATGGACAGGAGTTAAAACCTCTGTTGTGCTGGGTGCTCTGGGGACACAGAGGCAAATGCAATCCTTGCCCCAAGTTTAAGAAATTCTCCAATCAGATCTTCACGCAACAGAGCCAGACTGTTAAACATGGGGAGATGCTGGGCATTTCAGAAGTGCCCGATAAGTGTCATGTTCTTTTGGATCCCCCTGAATGCATCATCCAAGGCAGCTGGTTCTCTCTTCCTTTTGTAGCACCTGACATTTATTTCCTGACTGGAACTGTGCTGAAGCTGCTCCTTTCTAAGTGGAGGCCAGACCAAGGGGAGAAAAAGCTCTGTAGTGCAGCGTTAAGCCCATGAGAGTGGAGAAGAACCTCTCTTAAGCTCTTGTTGAGGCTGGTTAATTTTGATGATCAGCTCTCTTAGGCATCCAGAGCTGGGGTATAAGCTCTTTAGGGAAGCATTTTTTAGCAGAAGGATTTAAGTACTAGTGGCTGATATGTCTGTTGGCAGGATCCCAAGAACTGGCTGGAAGAGGCCTCTACTACGAAGGAAATGCTGAAATAGGACTTTTAATGAACTTGCGTAGCAGTTCCTTAAGGACTGAGAAGACTCTCCACAGGGAAGAAGGGAGTGGGATGTCACTAGAAAGAAATTTCTTGTTGCATTCAAGTTCTGACAGTAAATGAGTGAGCCCGGTTTTGCCTAGATACAGCTCAAATAACATTGCATCTGATGGGTACCGATCTGTGAGCACCATTTTACCCAGACAAGGCTGGAGAAGAGACAATATTTTCTTGATTGTAGCTCTGAAGTACAATGGAAAGGACAATAGCATGCTTATCTTGCTTATGGGATTTTTCTCTGGTTTTCACCTCTAAGTGGCTTTACCAACTACTGGAAATGAAAGCAAAGGCCAAAATGTGTGAACATGCATGCCGTTTGGTGGTGGTTTCAGCCCAGGTTTTAGTGAAGACCGCTTTCATTCTCAGTGTCTGTGGTCAGCCTTGTGTACACCATATGATTGAACTCCAGGCACCTGGCTTCATGAAGGCTGTGCTTTTGAATTGTAGGCTTCCACAGGGGCCTTGGGTGATCTTGAAGTTGGGTGCCTAAGACAAAGAAGCTAGAGTCCCTGGAGCCACTGACCCTCTACAACCTGGGTTTCCAATTGAGGGCTGTGTCCTTGGGTGGAAGCCTGGCACAGAACGGGCTGAGGACCAGTTCAAGGTCTCTGTTGTCAGTATGGCACTAAAAGGCATCATCGCTATCTTACATAAGTAAATACTTAAGGGCCTATAGGGCAGTCCTATTCAAGATCTGTCCCAACCTTTACGTGCTTCACCACCTAATTGGGTCAAGGTACTCTGTCTGTAGACATAGGACTGATGAGGTGAAAGTTGTAGGTCCCCAGTCTGGTTCCTGATTGGAGCAATGGATACTTGCCTACCGCTCATGCGAGTCTTCACCAGTTCATGTCTTTTAGCGAGCCAGGAGCTCAGTGGGAGCTCACGGCATAGAGCCTGCAGCGAAACACCTTTGGGGCTCTGCCATCATGATGGTCCTGTCCCTCCTGTGCCAAGACAGCTCTGAGCAGCTCTGAACCACATCATGTGGTTCCAGCCTGTCACCGTTGCAGTTGCCAACAGAGGTTGGGACTCTTGGGATAATCCTGGTGTGATGGCCAGGGTAATCCTATGCTGAAACCCCCTGGGTTTGTATTGCTCTGAGGTAAATACGTTGCCTAAACATTTGCTGGTCAAACGTGGGGTGCCACATATGTGCGACAAAGACCCCAAAAG